CATCTGTTCCTGCCAGGTTCGGGGTGAGCGATGCGCTGTTGCCCTGTCCCCCACCCGCCACGTTTTGCTGCCCCCATGTATCCCCTCCACCAAGACTCCAAATTTACTCCATAGTAAAAGGCAGGTCCATGCCCGGGTGCTGCTACGTGGCAGGAGAATTGGCTTGCCTTGGGCCGAAGTAGCCTAATAGGGCATATACATGCCAGGAGGTTATCCCGGGATAAAGGTATTTCTCGTTTCCCCACAGTGCCCTTGGATCCAGCAGCAGCTTGCCCCAGCTTCAGGTTATGGCTGGGTCAGTGTGTTGCTCCCCCGACACACCCACCCCAGCCCTCAATTTCCATCCCCCGCGGCGCACTGCAATCCATCAGTGCAGCATCCTCCTCCATCATCCGTAGCTAGTGCTGGACACCCGCCGTGGCTCAGAGCGGCTGCCTCTTAAGAGATGCAGCAGCATCCATTTACCAACAAGGATCCAGGAAAGCGCCTGGCCAGCAGCTCTTAAGCTCAGCCCCTAATGCAGACAGCGCCGGGAGCCCCTGCTGCTTGGCCTTTGTATCCTCACTCTCCTTCCTCCGCAGCTCCCTGTGCAGAGGGCTTGAATAGGTCTGCAGCTTTTTGATCCTCAGCTCTGACTGCTGAAAACAAGCCTGTTAACGTGACTGCAACAGGTAGGTATTTCCCAGTAATGAGCTCTCCTGCTGCTCCCCGTGGAGGTGGCTCTGATATGGTTTCCTGCTCCGGCTGACTTTACGATCCCAAGATCCTGCTGGAGGGCAGCCCAGCTGAGGGGATGGTAGGGCAGGAGGGGGCTTGCCCAGCTGCCCCGAGTGCCAGGTCAGCACCGTAGCTGGATGCTGGGGCAGCGAGCTGAGCACAGATGCCCTCTGGTACTAATATGAGCAGCTCTCGGGGTCGGTGGAAGAGCTGGGGTGAGGAGCTGCAGGGTAAGGTTGTACTCTGCTTTCCAAAGGGAGACTCTTGGCTCCAAGGTAGAGAGAGAGGCACTCCTGACCTTGGCAGCAGGTGGGAAGCAGCCCCAGGCAGGCAGAGGGCAAGAGGTACCCGACTCTCCCCACAGATGGAAGGGGTGGCATTCAGGCTCCTGCATTACAGTTGATTCCTAGAGCAGCTGCTGCTGCTTCCCACAGAGAGAACTGCATGACAAGTGCTCGTGCCTCTTGCAGTGATGGGGCCAAACCGGTGGTGGCTGACCCCTGCGTGGCAGGTGGGGGGGGTCAGGTTATCACAGCTGCCAGCTCATAGAAAAGGAAAGTTGGAGGGGATGGCAGAGGGTCACATCTAGTCCAACCCCCTGCTCCAAGTAGGACCAGCCCCAGCTACATCACCCCAGCCAAGGCTTTGTCTAACCCTCCAAGGACAGATATTTCACCAAGGCTTTGTCTAACCCTCCAAGGACAGATATCCAGGCTACCTCTCTGGATAGCCTGCCCTCCTCAAGTGAAAGTTTTTCCTAATACCCAGCCTAAACTTCCCTTGCTGCAACTGGATGCCATTGCAAAGAGGATGGAGCTGGACTGGCTTTAGTGATGACAAAGCAAGGAGCAATGCCCCTGCAGGGAGGTGAAGGCTGCTATTCAATCCCCTCTATCTAAGGACAGATATCCAGGCTACCTCTCTGGATAGCCTGCCCTCCTCAAGTGAAAGTTTTTCCTAATACCCAGCCTAAACTTCCCTTGCTGCAACTGGATGCCATTGCAAAGAGGATGGAGCTGGACTGGCTTTAGTGATGACAAAGCAAGGAGCAATGCCCCTGCAGGGAGGTGAAGACTGCTATTCAATCCCCTCTATCCTCTCTTCTGCAGGCTAAATAAGCACAGGTCCCCCAGCCCCCCAACCACTTCCATTGCTGAGGCTCTCTCCCAGGAAAGCATCTTAAACTTGTTACCGAGTCCCCTAACAGCTGCTTTAGTAGCCAGAGGCACTTGGATCCAGCTGGGTTAGGTGCAGAGGTAAGTGATGCAGGGCTCCCCCTGTCCCTGCAGCAGTAATGCAGTTCAGGCCCCTGGCCTTTGCTTCAAGCAGAGCAAATAAAAGGGTTTTGAGGCCCTTCTCTAGGAGAGCACGGTGCAGAGCTGAGGGAGCTCTGACAGGAGCTAAACCAGGCTCCCCCGCTTTCCCTTGTGTCCCCAATTTCTACTTAAGATCTCTTCCAGGAGCCCATGATGAGGTTGGTAACTGCAGAGACACAGTGCCAAGAGATATGTCCTGACAGGACGTGCAGTTCAAGAAGGGGTGGGGAATGTAATCCTCCATCCCAAGCATCACCATCTGTGCACTGCAGGGCACATGATGGTTATGAATCAGGCATTAGCTCCCAATTGCATCCAACTTGCAAGGTAAAAACTAAGCTATTACTTGTAAGCTGTTCTCTAGATGCACTCAGTACTCCTATTTTATGTGGATTACCTTTGTGGCTGGTTTACTGCACTATTCTGCCTGAAGCCTAATTGCACCTGTAGCTGGATTACTAGTTAAGGCATGATGAGCTTGTTAATTGGCCAGGCAAATCCTGCCCTTCCACCCACCTCAAGCAACTAGAGGTAGTCTTCCCTCATGGGCATTCCCCTCCAGGCTGGGGCTAGGTGCTCCCTCCTGCAGCCCTGCTTTAGCAGCTAGTCCTCAACCCCTGGTGCATGTATGCCCAAAAGCATCACACCGCTACAGAATGGAGGAAGGAGCCCAGGACTCAGGCCTGCTAGGATGCAGCAATGCAAGTACGACTAACACAGCAGCAAGCACCAGCTTACAGAGACAAGCTTTAATTAAGTTACAAAATAAATATATTTACACACAGCATGAGACACCAGTGACCAAGCTCCATGGGATGAGGCCAGCTCACTGCCCCATTCCAGGTCAGTGAACAGCCACCAACAGCTGCAGGGTATACAAGGAGGTGTTCTGGGCTTATAGCATGCATTGTAGTCTGTCACCCACCCCCAGACCCCAGTCAACCCTGCCTACCCACCAAGAGCCAGGGCAGGACCCAGATCTCCCACTCTCTGCCTCCTGCACCCAGCAGAAGCAGCAACGGGAAGGATGCGACTATCACAGGAGTCCAGGATATCATTGGAGCAGGATCCTCCTCACTGCAGCATCTTCCTGGTAGGGAGGGGTAGAAGCTGCCGCTGGAGGAAGCCCCCTTCTCTCTCCTCTTTCTCTTTCTGCTCCTCTGTGGCATCCAGAAGCTGCTGCACATAGCAGGAGCTGCCGAGGAGCACGTGGCCCGTGGCTTGCATGGTGAAGAGAGTCCAGCGCAGGGCTTCCCTGGGGACAGAGCAGGCAAGCTGTCAGCACATAGACCGGCCAGGGCATGGCAGCCTTCCAGCCAGCTAAGAGCATCCTTCCTGGAGCCCATGCCATCCTGAGCCTGGGGGTGCCAAGCTGCCCCTGCCTATGCCACCATGGGCTTTGCAGGGGGATTTGGAGCTGTGCAAAGGTAGTGTTAGCCCACAGCCCTTTAAGAGAAGCAGGCTGGTAAGAAGGACCCCCACCATGAGTGGGGGTAGGGTCCTCCCCACCCAGAACCACCACCCCCACCCCTAAACTCACTTCATCAAGCGCTTGGCCCCGTAGCAGTGCAGGTCATAGGACATGCTGTATGTGCCATACAGCGTGGCCTTGACATTGAGGCAGCCCAGGTCCTGGGGGCTGGTCTTGTAGAGGTCGAAGGTGACACAGGCCACGTCGATGCGCCGCCGGGGCTTACGGGACAGGAGCAACTGGTAGCCAGGGGTCTGCAAGGGGCAGTGCCTGGGTTAGAGCAGGATCCATGCTCCTGGGGAGCAATCCCCATCCCACACCATGCAGGCGCACAGGTTGGTCTCCAGGCTGGATGGCTGCAGTCCTAGGGGGCAGGGGGAGCCCAGCCCAGGGCACCATAACCAGCAGGAGGTAGGGAAGAGTGCCCGGTGCTTGTCAGAGCTGCTACCCCCATGCTCACCTTGGCTGGGGCCCAGGTCTGCCCCTTGCCTAGGGCCATGAGCACAGTGCCATCCTCCAGGGTCTGGAAAAACTCCTCCATCTCTACCGTCGTGCCATCCTCATCCAGCACCACTGCGACGGCGCCCACCAGCAGCAGGGTGCTCTGGATCTGTGGGGCCATGCAGCAGGTGAGGCGACACACGATATATCCCCCTAACTCTGCCCATACCCCCCGGCCCCGCACCCACCTTGCCAAGCAGGTCGGCCAGGCTCTCGGCCATGATGCCCTTGCGGAGGCTGCGGTCCCAGTTGCAGACGCGGAAGGGCCGAGCCCGGGGGGCCGGGCTGGACAAGAGCTGCTGGGTCATGGAGGCACTGGCGGAGACGCACCTGGGGGACAGCAGACAGTCAAGGACAGGCTGCTGTGTTCCCCTGGAAGAGCCGCTGCCTCCACCCCTGGCCCTGCAAGGAGCTAGGACCAGGGCTTAGCACTGGGTATGGACCCATCCCCATGGGGGGAGGGACAGGGAGGAGGGACACCACCCACACCCCCAGCCTGGGATCCAGAGGCGGCACATGGCAGTGTTCCCCTGGGTTGGAGCCAAGACACCCACTTGGAGATAGAGCTGGGGGACAGCAGGCCCAGGGACTTCTTGGCGTAGTCCATCTCGGGGGCAATCGGCACGCTCCGTCTGCAGAGAGGATGATGTCAGCGGAGAGGATGAGGTCAGCCCAGAGGGTGGGGGGATCCATGACATCACCGCCCCCCACAAAAGTCCAGCAGTCAGCACCCTCTATAGGGCTGCCAACCCTCCAGGAGACTGCTGAGAGTCACCCAGGAGATAACAGATAGGGCATTCATTAAAATTATTAAGCATTGTATACAATTTATACAGTAGTCCAGTGGGTTTTTAAAAATGTAGTAGTCATGAACATTTGCCTTCCCGATCAGTCATTTGTGTCCTTACCTCAGGGGATAAAAGCCACCCAGAATAGATTCAGAGTCGGCAACCCTAGCCCCCTACCCCAGGCAGGGAGCGGACACATGCCTCCAAGTGCCTTCTTTAGCCACCCTGTGCTCCCCAGATCCACAGCACCAAGGAGCACACACCAAGGGGGCATCCCCCCAGTGCCACACTGCAAGCAGCTCCTGGTCTCCACCACATCTTCCCCCACCCTGCCCCAACCCCATGGCTGCCTGGGCTCAGCCCACCCCAGGAAGGGGCTCCAGGCACAGTACTCACCACTTGCCCCGCACCAGCTGCAGCCCACACAGAGCAGCTCAGAGCTGGCCGCGTCCCTGCCCTGCCAGGGTTTAAGAGCAGGGGCTGGGCTCTGCCCTATCTGGTGTAAAGGGCAGGGATGGGCTGCAGTGACAACATCTGCCTCTTGTGCAAGGAGGCACGTGGGAGCGTGTCAGCAACACAGAGCAAAGGTCGGCAGTGCTCCCCGCCCATCGTGTGCTCGCTCCAAGCCCTTGGAGGGGGCAGGAGTCTGGATGCATTGCAGCATTGCCCTCTGCTCCCCCCCCCCGCTTACTCCCCCAGACACCCTGCACCCAGCTGGCACCACTGCCAGCTTCACCCCTGCACTCCCAGGGTGGGCAGCTGCTCTGTGGGCTCCTGGTGTCTGCTCAGAGCCACCTGTCATATTGAATGAAATAGTTTGAATGTTTATAAAGGTTGCCCATTAGCCAGTTTCAGGAAGAAGATAGGATCTATCTCCTTATCTAGCTCATTGTTTTGGAGCTACGTGCGAAATGTCCTGACTTCGCCTAAAACCTTAATCTAAATTGTACCTTTAGAAGTTTTTTACAAAGAAAGTAAATGTCCTAAATTCCGAGAAATCAAAGCCTGGGGCCTTTTAACCAGACTGGTAAAAAGAAAAGAGTATTTACAGTGATATGGAAGTCTCCCCAAGAATAATTTAAAAATGCTCAACAAAGGTAATTTCTGTTGAGTAAGATCCGAGCCCAAATTTGGGAGTTATGATGAATTGAGTAGGAGGAGCCCAATGACGGCAGCTCACTCAATAAAAACCTGTAACTTACTGTCCCAATTTGGAGGTGACTTCACTTGCAGAACAACGAAGGAAGAATCGCAAGTATAAGGTCGGATTAGATTGATCGCCTAATCAAGCCTCTCCGTGAACACGAATCTCTTAGTTCACGCTGAAGCCGCGGAGCGCCCGAAAGGGACTGAAGGAAGGGGACGTAGTCCTATCACTGGTGAGCCCAGCTCATTGAATCGTATTGCTGAGGCCAGCCTATTGAACCGTACTACTGAGGCCAGCCCATTAAATTGTACTACTGAGGAATGAAGCCATATTTTGGTATTTGGCTTCTCAGAATTCTAGGATTGTAAGTATATTATGAAAAATAACAGTATTGATTCAAATTTAACTTTTAGTTGTAATTGTAGTTGTTTTTGTAGCACTAATTCTTATAGCATTGTTTGGGAAGGAAGTGCATTCGGAGCATTGTTTCTGATATATGTAATTATTGTGTTTTTAATGTTTGTGGTGTTTCTTAAAGCTAAGCAGTGTTATATACATAGCAAAGAGTTTTAAAATAAAGTTGTGTTGTATGAATTAAATGTGTAATCATTGTGAAATTGTGCAATCAGCTAACTACTCCCCCAGCCAGTGCATCAAAACGAATCAGTAAATTGTGTGGGATTTTCTCTATTCCATAACCCACTAGAGACACCACCCTTACAGCAAGTCCAGCTCACCTTGGCACAGAAAGAGCTCTGGCTTATCCCCCCCTGGTCCCACCTTTTCCTCCCAGGGTATTGCAGAGCCCCACTGCCCCTCTAGCCCAGCTCCCCAGGCAGCTACTCCAGTCCCATCCTTCTTGTCATCTCCACCCCCAGACCAGATCTTAAGGTCCAACCTGGCAGGGTCCCAGCTCCTTTTCTTGCATCTACCTGAACCCCATGACTTGCCCCTTACCCAGAGCATACATGATCCTACTGGAAATGACTACTCAGTACTTACCCCCCACCTTGCAGTGACCACAGCCCTCCAGTACAAGCCTTACTCACCCAGATCAAATACCTCCAGCACCTCCCTACAGCTTGTCACTGCTGCCCACTCCCCCAGCTTTTATCCTGCCCCAACCAAGCCCCTCCCCTGCCCCTAGCATTAGCCAATCTACCCCAGGCAGCTGGGTTGGGGAGGGAGGAGCTGAGCACCTGGGGAGAGAGCATCTCCCCCTACTCGCTCCACAGTGCCTCCTGCTGGGCATGACACGGCCCCGGTGCAATTTGGCAACCCCAAAATCCTGCCCACATCCCAGCCCCATAGGCTTGAGGTGCTGCAGCCAGGCAGGGCCCTAGCCCACTGCCTCCGCTCCACCTCCAGGCACCCCTTGCCCCAGCCTGGTCTGGGCCAGGGCGGCTGCATGGCTCTGGGTTAGGCAAGCGGGGTACACCAGTGCTTGGGGGGGCTGCTCCTGGGACCTGGGTCCCCTGCACGCCTGTGCTGCTCCCTCCCTGCCTGAGACGCATGCAGCGAGGGCAGGCTCGTGGCCGGGCTGTGCCCTCCCTGGGAGTGAGAGGTGCCGCCCCAGAGGCTGCATTAGTGCAGAACGGGGCTTGGAGCTGCCCCTGCATCTTCCAGGATCCCAAGTAAGAGACCAGCACCTGCCAGGACAAGGTCACGGGCTATGCTTTATAAATGCAAAGGATGTTTTTTTCCCTGTTCATCCCCATAATGGAGCTTCCCCCTGCAGCGGGAGCTAGTGAGGACTGAGCTGTGTGGGCAGAGAGGGTCTAGATGGGTGCTTAACAATACATCCTTCATCATCCCCCGCCACGTGGCAGCTTCCCTGGGCAGAGTGGCTTGCTTTCAGGGGTGAAGAATAAAGGGGGAAAGATTCCCAGCCCCCACACTGCTATTCAGCTGGAGCGGATGGATGAGAGCTGGATGAACCAGACCCGGGGAGTGGGTCCCAGGCGGGGCGTGGGTGGGGTTGGCAGGATGGGCCAGCTGTCCGGTGCAGCTCTGCCCACTGAATGCCCTGGTCTTCCCGTGCGTGCTGGGGGAGCTGAGCGGGCCTAGGCTGGACTGGAGACCGACTTCCAAACTGAAGCCTTCCCAGAGCAAGCTTGGCAGAGAGGAGAGCCTAGGAAGCAATGCTGGACTGGGCAGAGGGAGGGGAGTAAGAGCAAGGGGGATGATTGCAGCATCCCTGCCATGCAGCTACCCTTGCCCTACTGTCACTGGGGACGTCTGAGCCATGCCGCTCTGCTTCAGCTTTTGCTTGCAAAGGAGACGGGCCTGGCCTAGCCCTTGGTGGGGCAGAGATAGCCTCGCGGGCAGCCACAGGCACTCCACGTCTCGGCAGAAGGAGCATCAGGGGTGGCTCACGGGCAGACGGCTCGGGGGTCTGGGCCGGGGCTGCTCCAGGAGATGCCGGGGCACCTGGGCTCTGCAAAAGGGCAGTGTGGGGGTCCCTGCCCTGTGGGTATGCAGTGACTTTGTGCTGCTCACAACGCAGCCCCCGGGGCAGGTGCCTGGCCCCGAGAGCACAGATCTGCACCAGACCGAGGCCTCCCGTGGGGTTTGTCTGGTGTATCCGGGGTCAGTGCCGGGCAGTTGCTGTGTTACAAAAGCCTGTGACTGAAATCCACTGGGTGTAGCCAGCACCCAGTCAGCGCCTGCCCCAGGCAGGGGCCATGTCCTCGTTAGCTGTAACCAGCACCAGGCAGGTGGAAAGGCTGCTAATGAGGTCACCTGAGTGAGGCAATCAGTTGAGGCCAGGTTGTCTGCTCAGGGCTGGGATATGAGGCATGGAAAAGCTCTGCCTGGGAGGGAACAAACAAGGAATGGGTTTTAAAAGTATGTGAGGGGTAGTAGCTTCCCTGAGTTGTGCAGCGGGGTTTAGACAGGAGATAGGTGGCAATAGGTCCAGCCCAGGCCAAATCTGCCCGAGTTGGAGCAATGGGGAAAGGCCGAGGGATTCTGGAGAGTGGCAGGAGAAGGAGCTGTTGGCCCCTGACTTGTGCCCAGAGCAGTGAGGAAACTGAGGCAGGGGATATGCATGCCGGTTGCCAGCTTTGCTGCTTCCTTGGTGCTTTGTCAGCTGCATGCATGGGGTCTGGAGCCCTGTAGAAACACCAGCTTGGGCATGTGACTCATTCTCCAGCTCATGCCCTTAATGAGGTCTTGAGCACGTCAGGAGGTGCCCACCTATGAGCAGATCTGCAGATCTCCAGGCTTGCTGGAGCAGTTTGGGGGTTGGGAGGGCAGCGCTAGTGTCAGACCCTGGGGGTTCAGGTGCAGAATATGAAGTGAATGGGATCAGCTGCTTCTGAGGCCAAGCCAGGCCCTAAGCCCATCACTGCAGCACCCACTGCTCCCTCGCCCAGAGGGTGCCCCTCTCCAGGTCGGGTGGATGGCAAGGTCCCTTTCCAGGCAGGCTCCTGGGGCTGGCCTGGGCCTTCTGGAGCCATCTGTGCAACATCTGGCAGAACCAGCAGCTGGAATGGGCTTTCATTCACCATCCAGGCCCATCTGAAGTGTGGCATCCCCTTTTCTTGCTACCTGCTTTCTGCAGACTCTCGTGTTAAAGGACCCTGGGTGCCCATCTGAGCACAGCCCTCCTCAAAGGTCCCTCTGCTGCGGTTCCCTGGTCCTGGCCACCAAAAGGTGAGTGTGGAAGGTGATGGTCTGGGCGTGTTTGGAGTCTGGGGTACCGTACCAGGCTCCAATTTAACCAGGGCAATAGGGCTGCGATAATCGGTGCGCCTTGCTGAAATGCCCCTTGGAGGAGAGGGGAATGACAGAGCACCTGGTTCATTCCAGCCTCTCCTGGGGTCTGGCATGGTCCAAAGGGTTGGGATGACCTCTTGCTTCATGCAATTGCTTCCCAGGGCCTCAACTCAGCCCCTGGGCACAGGGGGCTGTATAGAGAGGGGTGGAGGTTGCACTGACAGGGGTGCAAACTGGTGTCTCTTTAAAGGAGCTCTGAGCAGAGGCTGCTGGAAGGAGGGCAGGCTCCCTGAGTGTGGCGACTGGCTGGGCACCTGAAGGGTTTGAGCCCCACAAAGGGACCAGGACTCAGACCCAGCTTCCACGCCAGCAGGAGCAAAGGGTGTGTGGGCTGGAGAAATCCTCGCAGCACGGAGGGGCTTGCTCAGCATGGGAGGAGGGGTCCGGGTCACTGTGCAGTAGGGAGAGGCTTGCAAACAGGTCTGGTTCCAGTGGAGCAGAGCCACTGGGCGTGTGTAGACAAAACGGGGGCCAGAAATTGAAGCGGTGGGTTTTAAAAAACACCGCTTCAGTTTAGGGCTGATTTAAACCTCCGTGTTGTGCCAGAGCTGGGATGGAGGAGCTCCTGGCTCTGTGTTGGCGCAGGGTCTCTCTGCACTGTGCTCTTACGCTGGGCTGGGGAAGCGGACCTGCTGGCCTGGACAAGCTGCAGCCGAGGGGCCTTTCCCCCCTTGAAAAGCTGGGGGATGCCCAGCCTGCAGGCACTTGTGCTCTATCCAAGGCATGTGCCCTGCCTTGCACCATCCATGCAGGTGTCTCCAGCTTTGTTGGAGGCTGCTGCAGACTGGGGGCAAGGGAAGCCCTCCCTCAGAGGCTTCATTGATGTGTCTCCAGCTTTGTTGGAGGCTGCTGCAGACAGGGGGCAAGGGAGGCCCTCCCTCAGAGGCTTCATTGATTTACAGTTGAAATGCCAAGAGGCATCAGGCAACGTCTTGCTCGGGTGCTCAGCCCCTGGGGTTCCCTATGTCTATTGGTGGCAGCTGGGCCAGATGGGCCCTGACAGGCCAGCTGCAGGGGGCATTGGCCACCGGCCACCAAGTGACACCAAACAGCTAAGTGTGCACTGCTTTGCTCCGTGTGGGTGTGAGCTGTAGAAGAGTGGAGGGAGCCCGGGGTGCAAGCGGAGCAAGATGTGGGGCTGATTTTAGTCCCTTAGCTCCTGCCAGCTGCCCTGGAGAGCCATGCCCCGGCAGCCCCGTGAGCGGACGTGTGAGCTCCAGGCAGGGCTGGCTGGAGCAGGGGCACTGCCCCGAGCAGAGATGGGCGTTGTATTGCATGAATAGTTTTGCTGGGAAAGGGACTCATTTCCCTTCCGCTTCTCCCCTATGACTAAAACTTGAATTTAGGCTTAGTGGCTAACTTTTGGCTGGAAAATGGGAGGTCTTGCTGGTGCTTCCTCAACTATCTGGCCTCTTTGCTTCCAAAGGACCTTTTTTTTTCTTCCATTCAAAACTCTCCATTCAAAAAAGGAAAGCAGCTAATACCCTCCATGCAAGCAAGCATTTTATTTCAGTTTGAACAAAATGCTTCAGGTTGGGGGTTGCAATTCAGCAAAACAACCCTGAATAGTTTCCATTTCGGGGTCAAAGTGTCCAAAAGACACTTTGACCCCACCTGGGTCTACCTCTGACATCTACCCCGCCCCAGATCTGAAATAGCAAAGATTTTGGTCTCTGTGCTGCAGTTCCCAGGTTGCAGGGCCGAGTCTCCCGTGGGCACCTGCCTGTTCACAGTGGTTTCTGTCTCTTGTGGGTCATGGCAGTAGCCTGCCCTGAGGCTTCCCCCCCCAGCTCCCGGTGGCAATGTTTCCCAGGTTGGCCTGGGACTGTGTGAAGCCAGCTGTCAGTGGAGGTGCCAACACTGCTCCTAGCTCGCACGCCTGCCTGTCAGCTGCCTGCCCAACCGTTGCCCGAGCTGGGGTGTTTCGGGAAGGGTCTTCCGAGGGCTGCCCTGATGCAACCAGGCTTTGGCACAGGGCAGTGTGATGCAGAGCAGGTTGCTGGCTGGTTGCACTTCCCTAGCTGCCTGGCAGGGGCTGGGTACTCCCAGATCCTCTGCCCTCACTTTTGCATGCTCCAATGTGAAGATCCCAGGAGAACTGTGCAAGGTTTCCCCCTTCCCCCAGTATGAAGGGGAGAGTAGGAGCAGGGTCTGGGAAGGTCCCAAGGCCAACAGCAGTGATCAGAGTTTGCAAAGGGGGGCCAGCAGCTTGGTCGTATCCCTCTGTGGTAAAAATATGTTATAATCTAGTCATTATGATTTTGCAATAACGTTTGTATAGCAGCTGTGTGG